GAAGTAAGGACAAAATTAGAAAGGGAGCAGGGGAAAAGATTTTCACTTTTAGATGTGTTCATCATTGACAGCTTTGATCGACTGAGATATTTATGCTGCGTAGAGACATATGTGTCAAGTTTGTTTACAAACAACAACTAGTTTTAAGAAGTATGATTTGCGTAGAGACTATAAAACTGTAGTTGATTAAGCAAAATACATACGTCACAATCTAGCGTACATTTTTCTCCATTTGTCCTGACGGGCTGCGTATACCTGAGTTGGGCGTTCCTGTATATAGTTCCTTGGCATAGGGGATCACTTGAGACACGGTTACACTACTTTTAAAAGTCGACTGTAATAGTAATTTCAAGTTACCCTCCCTGAAAATATGGCAATGTACCCCTGACATCTAAATCTAATCAAAAATGTGGAAGATTACGTCGTTTTCATTACTCGAAAAGTGTTCAGAGCTGAAAAACTTAAGAATGGTGGATATTGAGAATAATGCTTGATCCTCTCTTTTTCATAATATCGAGACTAACTTAAACTTCTACTTGTATCCTGAAAAGTGTATAAAATTCAAACAATCAGAGTTGCGTATATGAAGTCGATAAATTTGAAATTTTGCCGCCATTTGAGATTATAAACAGAAATGGGAGGGACTCTCTAAATTAAAAAAAGCGGTTTTTGATTTTTCTCTACTATATCGAAGAAAGAAAGGTTTAAGAAGAAAATCAAAAGTGTGTCCATTGGATAATAAGATTAAGTAATCGGGATTAAGGATATCTCATTCTAAAGTTTTCGGCTCAGTTCTAATAATTTCCCCATTTTATTCTAAAAGGCAAGAAAATCACTTTTTCATAGGAACCGTAAATGAAAACTAACAGTTTACACAAGCCAAAAAAAGGATATCTCATATTCATACTTGATTATACAATGCTGCTAAGGATATTGTTTTAATATTATATATGAAAGAAAAATGAATCAATACACCTACTCATTTGATCTAATATTCGACGAGTCGGTTTTTCTCACAATTTATTATTATTTACAAAGATACAAATACTATAAGAAAATACTATACGAATCAAATTGCATGAATTGAGAATAGTTCAGAGTGATGGGAGATCTCCAGGGGAACCTATTAACTAGGGAGCTGGTCTTCAACTGCCATTTGTCCCCGAGTTTCACTCCACCCTTGCCTAGAGCTTAACCCTAGTTCCCCGGGAGCTGGCCGGCCATCCCACCAGC